CATAAGATGTGTGTGTACAGTAACAAGAACGTAAGGTGTGTGTACAGTAACAAGAACGTAAGGTGTGTGTACAGTAACAAGAATGTAAGATGTGTGTGTAAAGTAACAAGAACGTAAGCTGTGTGTACAGTAACAAGAACGTAAGGTGTGTGTACAGTAACAAGAATGTAAGATGTGTGTACAGTAACAAGAACGTAAGCTGTGTGTACAACAACAAGGACGTAAATTGTATGTACTGTGACAAGGACGTTGGGGATTAGTAAAAAAACAACCTATTTTTAAAATCTCCGATTATTTCAGTAAAAATCCTTACAATAGTATTTTAAGTACATTGATCACCAGCTATTGTAATCAGTACATGGATCACAGTACATTTAGTACGGTGACTTTTCACCCTCGGATTATTTCTCCACTATCGAGATAGATAACTGACATAGTCGGCGTATTTTTGGCGAATACTGTGAGTGTATTTACACTAAAAAAAAACCCGGTGTTTCACATGTGTGGAGGGGAGGGGGGCTGTTCCCTCTTAATAACGGGTGTCGATTTCAATTTGTAATACATTTGCTGGAGAGCTTCTATAAATTTAGTCAGCCATCTTTAAAAGCCCAGACAAACTTTGATAAACGATCAGCCACTTCACGATCTGCTAAAGTTTTTATGTTCAAAACATTGACTTTGTAGTTTAACTGTGATGAAGTGTGACCTAGGTGATACTTGTACCTGTTCGTAATACGATATCATGTGATCTAAGTCACACTGTACCTATTCAAATAGGCTAACGTCTTCTGACATCCTTACTTGTATTGAATATGATAAAATGTAGTCGAAGTGACACTGTTCTGTTTGTTCTAAATAAGATAACAGGTGATATACTGGCATCCATACTTGTACTGAATACTACAACATTTGATGTAAGTAGCACAGTACTATTCTGAATCAGCGAACAGGTGATTAAGTGACATCCATACTGTTCTGAATTAGAGAACAGGTGATCAAGTGACATCCGTACTGTTCTGAATCAGAGACCAGGTGACCAAGTGACAGCCATACTGTTCTGAATCAGAGAACAGGTTACCAAGTGGCATCCGTACTGTTCTGAATCAGAGACCAGGTGACCAAGTGACAGCCATACTGTTCTGAATCAGAGAACAGGTTATCAAGTGACATCCGTACTGTTCTGAATCAGCGAACAGGTGACCAAGTGACATTCTTACTTATTCAGAAAACATTTTTATCAAGTTTTCCTTCTCTCTCTTGGACAATAACCGTCTTACTGAAAACGTTATAGAAAATAAAACACCAAATAAAAGAAATCGTAGAAAAAATCATATTTAAATTGACATTTTTTTAAACAGAGTTTTCTTCACAGTAACATTGCACAGCTATATCGTTGAACTTGCTAAGCCTCTTTTTTGATATGTCGTTTCACATTAACCCCTGGCGGAAGCTGTGAGTACCAAGTTATTAAACTGTAGAATTTTCGATTTTATCCTTTATTGTAAATAAATATTTCATCATTCTCTTCGACTCTTACTTGTTTTCTTCAGTGTAAAGTGCTGCCCTTTATTTTCAGATCCACCTGACCCTCCGATTCTCCGAGTTGTCACATCAACCACCACATCTGTATATCTCAATTGGGAACAAAAAGAAACAGATACTTCAATTCAGTGTAAGAAGACAGTGGGATTTAATATCACACTGTTTCTCTTTCTTGCTGTTTTTGATATCTTTATTGTTGTTAGTTATCCGAAATTTTTGATCTCTGTAAAAATATTTGCTACTTCTTTCCTTTCGGTTTTATTGTTTCGTTATAGTGTACATCCTATACAGAAGCACGGAACACGACTGGGAAGAGATTCGGTTGCCTGGCAACAAGAAAAGTTATACCTTTCATGATCTACATTGTGGAACAAGATATCAGTTTTATATTGTAGCTCACAACAGCGCCGGAAAGGGCACACCGAGTGACGTCATATCCGCTAAAACTTATGGCACAGGTCAGAGAAATTCGTTATTTTAATGAATTGTACCGAAATATACTAGTAACATAATTATATGATCTTAATGACTATATATATACGTGGATATTCTGATTTATTAATCACTACTTATCCAAATCTATATATTTAAAACGAGCAGAAGTAACCTTTCTCGTGTAATTAGAACAATATACTCCGTTAGTAGCTCTGCCAACCAGAAGATAAATGTAACTTGTAATATTATCAGTTATAAAACAATGTAGGTTACCTCCTCTGTTCTCTGTTTAACTCTTTGGATGTACATCAGTGGGCATCTGGCACACTGACTGGTCTTATTAAGTATATTTGTAACTCTTTGGATGTACATCAGTGGGCATCTGGCACATTGTCTGGCCTTATGAAGTATCTTTGGATGTACATCAGTGGGCGGCTGGCACATTGTCTGACCTTATTAAGTATCTTTGTAGCTCTTTGGATGTACATCAGTGGGCATCTGGCACATTGTCTGGCCTTATTAAGTATCTTTCTAAGTCTTCGGTTACTGACCCAAAATGTTTGCAGGTTTGAAGCAGATATCTGACGATTGCAAGAGACCAGTATCTATATAAAGGGTCGTTTAAATATCACATTATTGGTTTGGGAGCGATTCATTACTTAGCTTGAATACCTTGAAGGCACTTTAGCCAAACTGCAACAGTCTATTGTGATTGGGTAACATTCATTCATCTGATAGTTCTATATACGAATCCAAAGATACTTAATAAGGCCAGACAATGTGCCATATGACCACAGAAATAGAAACATACTTTATGAAGCCGGTCAAATAATGTGGTTTGCAATAAGTAAGGATTCACCAAATAGAGCGACTTTCAAGAATTGGTGATTGACTGGACGGAATTGTCTGTATGAAGTGGACTTTGTGAAATGAAGAGTGACTAAATGGAATGGCTTGGATAAAAACTGAGGCTTCACCAAATGGAATCGCATGCAGGATTATCGGACTTCAATCCTATCAAGTATGTATGGATGTTCGTGAATATTTGATGTACTGGATGCTGTTCTATATTTGAATTTTACTGATAGATGCGTCATTTCCCGTCAGGTGAGTCCGGATAAAAAAGGGTCCCTTGATGTTTCTGTTGGTCTGTTTTCTAGTATGATAACAAGAACTGTAAAGACGCAAGACCACCTCTATCAGTCTTCATTTACGACTGTAGACTGAATGATCAGTCATGCGCATTTCAGAGCACGCGATGAATCATTAGAAGCTTGATTTGTATACAAGTAAACTGAGTAGGTGATTGACAGAATTTTATAACACCTTGTGATAGCCCTGATATTATAAATTCCAATATTTTTTAATTGTTATGTGCAGTCTAAGTTCTACGAGTTCAATATCACCCTGTTTCTGGAAAGTATAATTAGTTTTATGTTTTTTATCAAGATTGTCTCCCGAATGCTATGTTCCAGATAGAATGGTATTGGTTCTTAAATTATCATTGTCAAACACTATGAGATAGAGATATTTAACTGTTGTCTTATCTTTCAGCACCACAAGCACCGGAAAAACATTCCCTTCTCTCAGTCAACGCTACTTATATAGTTATTCACTTGACCGCTTGGTGGAGCGGTGGATGCCCAATTCTTCACTTTATCATTCAATATAAGCAGAGGGAGAGCCAGGAATGGGTTTTGTTGTCCAACAGCATCCTACTGAACCAAAAGTCTATCTCCATCACAGACCTTCTACCAGCCACCTGGTACACCCTTCTGATGACAGCAACCAACGAGGCAGGAAGCACAGAAGCCGAATACGTTTTGGCTACTTTAACCAGTACCGGAGGTAATGGATTAACCAATAGTTCTTTTTTTTCTTGGTCGTTGTCACTTAGACCTTAACCAGTACAGGAAGCTAAGCCTCTGATCAAAGCAAGCTACCTGTAGTTTATCAGTAATTTCTAATCAAAGCAAGCTACCTGTAGTTTATCAGTAACTTCTGACCAAAGCAAGCTACCTGTAGTTTATCAGTAACTTTGATCAAAGCAAGCTACCTGCAGTTTATCAGTAACTTCTGATCAAAGCAAGCTACCTGTAGTTTATCAGTAACTTCTGATCAAAGCAAGCTACCTGTAGTTTATAAGTAACTACTGATCAAAGCAAGCTACCTGTAGTTTATCAGTAACTTCTGATCAAAGCAAGCTACCTGTAGTTTATCAGTAACTTCTGATCAAAGCAAGCTACCTGTGGTTTATCAGTAACTTTTGATCAAAGGAAGCTACCTGTAGTTTATCAGTAACTTCTGATCAAAGCAAGCTACGTGAACCATGGTTTTACAAAGAAATAGGGACTAATATCGCCTGGTGGTTAGGGCAACCTGCTGGTTGCAGGATAAATTCTCGTCATAGAACATTCTCGCCATTTCAGCTGTAAGAGCATTACAACATGACGGTCAATTGCACTATTCTTTGGTAAAGAGTAGCCCAAACAATTAGAGGCAGCTGACACAGATAGCACTCAAGTGGCTTTGAGTGAAATTCATCAAAGAAGTCAATGAAACTCTTTAACAAAACCTTGGACAATGTGATATTGTTCATCAGATTTACCTGAGATATCTACATCCCTGTATATATGTAGTTTATGAAGATTAGTAAACCTAGGGAAAGTTACTAAAGAAACTTTGTTATTGATACTCCATCTCACTACCTTACTAAAGATAATATTTGTTATTGATACTCCATCTCACTACCTTACTAAAGATAATCTTTGTTATTGATACTCCATCTCACTACCTTACTAAAGATAATATTTGTTATTGATACTCCATCTCACTACCTT